CTTTAAAGGTCAAACCTCCAAGGCAATCAAAGTGACTTGGATAATCAGGTGGGCAATGGTATCATTTACAAAACTAGGAAAGGCTCTAATACACATGCGCTCAAACCAGAAGGATAATGCCTTAGAATCGCCGACTTCCTACATGAATAATAATGCAAAAACCTCCAAATATCTCCCTTGAAGAGATCATCTCTGCCAGCCCAACACATGGCCAAAAGATTATTTCTTTGGGTGGAAGCAACTTGAGACTATTCTATCATGACAATCTGTGTGCCCTGCTGCCAACTCCCACTCCCACTCACTTCCTCCCTCTCATTTTATTTCTCCATAAAATTTCTTCAATTCCTTCTAGTGATATGAAAACTTTCACTTTTGGAAAGTACAATTAAAAAGTTAATAAAACAATATAATTTTGATTTTTTTTCAAAAATGTGCATATCTGAAAGGAAATAGAGCGATATGTTAACATTATCTATAAATAATGCTGTACAAGTAATGTAAATTCTGATCTTAATACATGTCTGCATTTCCTAAGCCTTAAATAATAAACAAGAGCTTTTCTTATTTAAAAAAACATACATTTCTTAAAAATTAAATCTCTGAGACAGTTAACAAATTCTTACAATCAAATATTCCTTATTAAGAATGAATGGAGCCTATGTCACCCACATGTGAGTTTTGATAGAATGGGTTGAAAATTAAAGACTTGGGATACAATTATCCAAAAGGATCAGAGGCTTGAGGAATCATGCATCACTACAAGGTCAAAGACAGTCTGGCTTGAGGCTAGAGATTTAATGTATGGCATGCTCTTCTCTACCACCTGTTCACATGTAGGAGCAAGTAGACATCACGTTCAATTCAGGGGGAAAAGAGTTAGAGATACAATTAAACCATATAATTCCAAAAATGCATCAGAATAGTCACTACCAGCTTAGACAGCAACAGTCTCTTTCATCGTGAAGATGATAGAGATTTACCTGCTTCCCTCCCCAGATGCCCACAATGGCTAAGGTTAGACAAGGCCACAGCCAGGAGCCAGGAACTCCAGCCAAGTCTCCAATGAGAATGGTGGAAACCAAAGAACCTAAGTTTGCTGCCTTCCAGGCACAGCAGTTGGCATCTGCGTCAGAAGTGTAGAGTAGCTGGCATACAATCACGCACTCAGTCCTCAACAGGGACTCAACCTGGTGTGTCACAACACCCACCTTTGTCTGCTTATTATGTAAATGATGAAAATGCTTGAAATGAAATCAGAGGGAAGTTTAAAAATAAGAGGACCCCAAACAACCTTGACCAGACTGATTCATCCCTGTTGAAACCCACCAGCCGAGAGGTGACCAGCGAAATAGGAAGACAGTTCTCCTGTTAGTCGGCCCTGAGAAAACAAGGAAAATGTGTCCAGGTTCTGTTGCCCACACCTCAGAACGGAGGGACTAGCCATCGTTGTCCAACCCCATCCTCAATTCAACTGGCCTGCTCTTCACAATTATTAAATCAGTAATTCATTTCTACCTATTCTTGACTACATCAACATAAGATAGGTTGAATTTGGCCTCATGCAAAACATAAGCTCCCCCTTGTTCCAAGATTTCAAATACCCAGTGATTTGGCTCGTTGGTATTGGGAAGATTGACTGCGACTTTTTGTTTCCAAAGATCAGTTTCCCTGCAATGCATATGTGGAACAAAGGCAGAGGACAAACTCTCAAAGAATTAGAGGCCCAAATTTTTTTTTTCCATGCACATAGTATACCAGCCCTTATTTCTAAAAAATTGTTTAAAACTGGGAAATACGCCAAGGTGTCTGGAAAAGAGTGAGCGTATGCACATTTCAGAGCAGAGCCCCGTGGAGCGCTCTGCCACGGCTAACCATCTAACAACATAGCATTTGGTGATTTGTGAGAAGGCCTTTCCAACATCATTTTTATTATTTGTTTTCGAGAAATAGAAAAGCCGAACACTACTGGTTCACTCCCGCCCCTCCACAATGATCGGGAACCTGGAACTGGGAGCAGAAACACAGTCCAGGTCTCTCACAAGCGGGGCAGGAACCCAGAGACTGGAGCCAGCACCGCTGCTCCTGCTCCCGGCATCCATGTTAACAGGAAGCAGGAGCCAGCACCTACAGCTAGACGTTGACCTCAGGGGAGCCAGTATCCTAACCAGCATCATACCTGCTAGTCAAATACTCACCCCTCAAAGCTAGTAAAAATAAGTAAATAATTACATGTTTCCCATCTTCCCAGCATAAGATCTCCAGGGGATGCCCCAGGCTACACCAAATACAGCACAAACGGCCATAGCTACACACAGAGCAGTGAGCCTCAACCTTGCCTGCAAATTCAAATTATCCGAAAAAACCTAGCGATACATTACTTTTTTGTTTTATAATGATAATGAATATGAATGTGATCAGAGGGAAAAAAAACTCATTTATACGCTTTGGTGCATTTCTGGATGTGAACTCTGTACTTTGATAAAATCATTTTTTAAAAGGAAATCATTTTTTAAAGGATAAAGCCCAAAAAAAATCCTTATATTGGAACAGCACTCAGACTAACAAAATCAAAGCCTCTGGTAGTGAGGTCTGAGCATTGGAACAGGCAAGCTCTCCAGATGAGGCAGAACACTCAACAAGCACCAGAATTACGAGCCCCCGGGTGCAGCAAGATGTGCACTGGAGCTTGCTCACTGAGAGCAATGAATGCAAACGGCTTCTGTTTAATGATGATATGTGATTAATTAAATTATGGTGAATCCGCACAATGTGGCGCTACCCAGTCTCCTTTTTTTTTTTCTTAATGAGGTAAGGCTATTTTCCCCATCAATGTTTTAAATGCAGTGATTAATTATTTTTGCAGTGGATGGGACCTTATAAAACCATTAGACCTGAAAAAAATTATCTATTATAAATTAAAAATGAAACAGCAAATTTATAGGTAGTAAGTATTTCTGAAATAAAATATATCAATTTCAGGAATTATCAGGTTTCTTAAAAATTTTATTACATTTTTTTAACTCAATAACCTATATTCTCACTGCAGGAATTTCCAGTATGTAAGAGCTATCTATGGTTCTCAAAATGTGACTCCAGACAGTAATATCAACCTCTCCTGAGAAGTAACTAGTTAGAAAAAAGAGCTGTGGGTACCCCCACGGCACACCTATTTAATCAAAGACTGTAATGGAAGCCAGTTTCCTGTGTGGTCAAGTCTTTTAAATATGATTATTATTACTATTATTATTTTCCAAGAAGCAGTTTAGTAGGTACAGGGATTCCCCCACATGTCCCCGGCCTCCCTCCCCTTTCTCCCTGACACTGTTTCCTCCCGTGTTATTACAGCAGTGTAGTCCTTTAGCATCAGTACAAGTCCAACATTCTGCTCCTTAAGTGTATCATGGCCTTGTAGGCATAGACAGTATCCTAATTCTTATACATACTTAAATGTAAGAACTACTGTGTATGATTACCAACATAAAAGGATATTAAACTTAAAAATTGAAATCACCAATATTAAATAACAACCCAAGTAACTTATAACTCAATATAAAAACCCTTTCAAAAATTTCTACCCAAAAAATTAAAATTCACAAAAAGCATGCATAAGCTTACCTTTTAATTTCATTTTTCCATGGACTTTTTGAAATATTCTGTATAACCTCAAAAAGTTAAATCTTATCTTTAACAAGGGTATCAAGCATATACAATGAGAAAAGAAAAGTCACTTCAATACATGGTTCTGGGAAAACTACATCCAAATATGCAAAAAAATAAAGTTAGACTTTTACTTCACACTACATACAAAAATTAGCTCAAATTAAGATAAGGAGTGAAAAACTCAGACCTGAAGAAAACCTAAGAAGAAGCTTCTTGACACTGACCTGAACAACAATTTCTTGGCTGTGACAACAAAACCACAAGCAAAAAAGCAAAGAAAGCCAAATGGTACCACCAAAAATCCTTCTGGGCCTGTTGCGATGCCTCGCTTGGCTAACCATCCCCGCTGCAAGCACTGGGATCCCGTAAGGGTGCCAGTTCGTGTCCCTGCTGCTTCACTTCCCATCCAGCTCCCCAACTGTGGCCTGGGAGGGCAAGAAAGCAGAGCCCACAGCCTTGGCACCCTCCCTCCACACGAGAGACCCAGAAGAAGACCCTGGCTCCTGGCTTTGGACCAGCCATTTGAGGAGCGAACCCGTGGATGGAAGATTTCTCTCTCTCTTTCTCTGTAAATCTGATCTGCCTTTCCAATAAATATAAATACAATATAAAAATATTCTGCAAAGTCAAGGAAACAATCAACAAAGTAAAAAGGCAACCTATAGAATTGGAAAACAATATTTGCAAACAATGGAGCTGATAAGATACTAATTTCCAAAATGTATTAGGAACTCACACAACTCAACAGCAGTAAAACCAATAACCTGATTAGAAATGGAAGAAGGAACTAAATTCACATTTCTTCAAAGATATGCAAATAACCAACCTATGAAAACATGCTTAATAGAACTTACCAGAAAGGTGAAAATCAAAATCATAATGAATATCTGTCACCTTATATTTGTTAAGGTAATTATTTAAAGATTTATTTTTTTATTATTTTTTTATTGGAAAGGCGGATATACAGAGAGGAGAGACAGAGAGGAAGATCTTCTGTCTACTGGTTCACTCCCCAAGTGAGTGCAACGGCCGATGCAATGCCGATCCGAAACCAGAAGCCTCTTCCTGGTCTCCCACATGGGTGCAGGTTCCCAAAGCTTTGGGCCGTCCTCGACTGCTTTCCCGGGCCACAGGCAGGGAGCTGGAAGGGAAGTGGGGCTGCCAGGATAGAACTGGCGCCCATATGGGATCCCGGGCGTGCAAGGCGAGTACCTTAACCACTGCGCCACCGCACTGGGCCCTAAGGTAATTATTTAAAAGACAAGAAATAGGGGTAAGGATGGGAAGAAATTAATGCCCCTTTTTACAGCTGGTGAGAATGTATGTATGATTTGACTTACATGAGGCGTCTGCATGACACAGTGGATCACTGGTTGCCAAGGCCCTGAGGGAGAGATGAACAGAAAGTTGTCATTCAATTGATTGAAAGTTTGCTTATGCAAGATGACTAAATTCTAGAAATTGTTTACATAGTTGTGTGCCTACAATACTGTATCCTTAAACAACATTAAAAGGTTAGGTCTCAGGCTAAGTATTCTTAGCACAATAAAAAAAATCATATGATTCAGCAATTCTATTCAGAGATATAACCCCACCAACTGAAGGCAGAATCCTAGTTACTCACACAGTAATGTTCCATAGCAGCATTATTCATCATTCACAGCAGCCAGAAGATGGGCCTAAAACTCCACCCATGGAGGAACTGATTTTTTAAATATATATATATTTCAAAAATCAATTCATATATATTCATTTAAATCTATATATACAATGCAATATTATTCATCTGTACAAATGTACCATGTATCTATTCACACATAATATTTTGATTATGTTTTCATATTACATCACTCTAGTCTCTTTCTTTTCATATATTTGCTATGCTATGACACATTTATATAAGCTGAAATATATTTTCATATATTTCCTATGCTATGACACATTTATTCAAGCTGAAATAATGACTCTGCCATTGTAATAATCTTGGGACAAATAATAGGAGGGGGATATGAGGAAGGGAGGGTTGACCTCCTATGTTTATAAATCTGTACTGCGAAAAACAGTAAGTAAATCTTTTTAAAAATCCTATTCATCTGGGTCCAGTGCAATGGCTTAGTAGGTAAATCCTCATCTTGATTGTGCCAGCCATCCTACATGTGTGCCAGTTCATATCTTGGCTGCTCCACTTCCCATCTAACTCCCTGACTGTGGCCTGGAAAAACAGTGGATAATGGCCCAACGCCTTGTAACCCTGCACCTGTGCAGGAGACCCAAAAGAAGCTCTTGGCTCCTGGCTTCAGATCACCTCAACTCTGGCTGTTGCAGCCACTTGGAGCATGAACCAGCAGATGGAACATCTTTCTCTCTGTATCTCCTTTCTGTAAATCTTCCTTCTAATAAAAATAAGCGAATCTCAAAAAAAAAAAAAAAACACTATTCATCTATTGAAAGGAACTATAACTCTGATACATGAGACAAACTGGATGAACCTCAAAAGCATTTGTAACTACCAAAGTAAGCCAACTAGAAAAGCACAAGTACTGCAGGATTCCATTCACATAAGGCACCAAGAACAAGAAAATCCACAGAGACAGGAAGTAGAAGACAGTCTATTTGGGGTCTCAGAGGAGAAAATTGGGAGTCATTATTTAATGGGGGGAAAAAAGGCTCTGATCAGCATGAGTTCCATTCTGGCAAACTCTGGCCAGACACAGTCACTTTTTTCTTGTTAAAAATTCAAGAACAAGGACCCAACACAGTGGCCTAGTGGCTGAAGTCCTTGCCTTGCACATGCCACAATCCCATATGGGCCCTAGTTCATTTCACAGCACTCCTGCTTCCCATCCAGCTCTCTGCTTCTGGTCTGGGAAAGCAGTTAAAGACAGCCCAAACCTTGGGACCCTGCACCCACATGGGAGACCTGGAAGAAATTCCTGGCTCCTGGCTTCAGATCAGATCAGCTCTGGTCATTGCGGTCAATTGGGGGGTGAATCAGTGGACAGAAGATCATCCTCCCTGTGTCTCTTTCTCTCTGTATATCTGACCTTCCAATAAAAACAAATAATAAATCTTTGAAAAAAAATTCAAGAACACGATTATTTCTAGAACATCTGGATCCTCTACCAAGGGAAGAACCTGGCATAAATCTAAACCACATTCGACCTAGCAGACATGGGGTAACAGAAGCCAGGGGTCAGTTCACAGATGATTATGCCATGGCATCTGGGGGAGCTCAGGGTCTCCTGGCAGGGGAAATAACCTCTGTTCAACTCAACTAGTACCAGCTGAAAATTGAAATGATTTTATTTTCATCTATAATGTGAGACTCAATTAGCAATATGAGAAAGCTCTCAAGTCCATCAGATTCACTTCCTGTGAGTCCACCCCACCCCACCCTCTCCTCACCCTACCACCCAGCAATCCTACCCCTCAGTGCATACACCAATGAAGGCTCATACTGATGCTTAAGAGGACTCAGGCAAACTTGCTCTGCTAGACTCCAAGGAAGGAAACCCTAGATGCACTGTGTCTTTCTTATCCCACTACCAAAGACCACGATGCAAACATTGGTTAGATCATGCTTCTGTGCAGGAGAAGGAATTCAGATATGATGCTCTCCATCCAGTCTAATCACCCAACTCTGTGACTCCCATCTCCAGCCCCCCAGGGATTATCATCTGCCTCTGCTTCCAGGACAGGCCACTATTAGAGGACAAATGTTCCTGCAATGCCAAAAACAGTAAATCAGCTTAGAAACCTGGCCTGAGGTGCAACAGATGGCTGGCCCATTACTGTGAGAAACTTGAAGGAGAAACTTGGAATTGAACATCAGGAGGTCATTTCTTTTAGTATGGTGCCCCCAGTGGGGTAAATGCTAACGGCAGGCTCAAGAACACAGATGTTAAGGAAATTATCTTCTATTTTCTCCTGAGACTATTTAAAACTTTGACTCGGAAGAGCCAGTGAACTCTTGGATGAAGAAGAGCTGAAAAGGACTCGTGTGCATAATTTTCAAAATGCAAGTCTAGATTCATGTACTGGCAATGTGCCCCATCTGAACTCCTTAAAAATCAGTTCCTCTGTGAGCATTTAGTAGAACTTTCCTCCTAGGACTGAGATGAGGAACAAATGAAATAAATAATCTTGAAACATTTAGCACATTACAACCAGTTCATTAACATTAGCCATTATTCACAAGAACTTTCCTTTTATTTTCTTTGTTTGAAAAGCCTAGCAATCCCTTTTTAGCTGCCCCTGAACTAAACACCATGATAAAAACTGGACGCAGAATGAGAGGGTTTTGTTTTTTAAGATTTATTTATTTTTTGTGCAAAGTCAGATATACAGAGAGGAGGAGAGACAGAGAAGATCTTTCGTCTGATGATTCACTCCCCAAGTGGCCACAATAGCTGAGCTGATCCGAACCCAGTAGCCAGGAGCCTCTTTTAAGTCTCCCACATGGGTGCAGGATCCCAAGGCTTTGGGTTGTGCAAGGAGCTAGATGGGAAACGGAACTGCTAGGATTAGAACCGGTGCCCATATGAGATTACGGCACATTCAAGGCAAGGACTTTAGCCACTTGGCCACTGTGCCAGGCCCAAGAGGTTTTTTTAAGACAAAAAACTTAGACACTATCCAGTCCAATTTTCATACATCAAATCCTATTGTAACAGAGAAGCAGAAACTAACACAATCTTCCATAATGAATGGGATTGGCAATGGCACAGCTGCCAAACACAGTATGAAAACCACATCCAATCTCCTCTTTTGTTTAATATATATTTCTTTATCTTCATTTTGAAAGGCAGATCTACAGAGTAGGAGAGAAAGAAATAGACTGAAGTCTTCCACCCCACTGGTTCATTCTGCAAATGGTTGCATCATTCAGAGCTGCACTGATCTGTTGCCAGGAACCCAGAGCTTCCTCTGGGTCTCCTACATGAGTAAAGGGGCCCAAGGACCCTGGCCATCTTCCACTGCTTTCTCAGGTCATCTCTCTCCTTTGCTCCCTCTCTCTTCTTCTCTCTGTAACTCTTCCAAACAAATAAGTCTGTTTTTAAAAATAACTACATGTACAGGGTCACATATCTTACCAGCAACAGATTTCCAGGGCTACAAGATAGATCTCTAATATTAAGGAATTGTTCCATTAGCTAGGAAAAGCTAGGATTTCATTCTCTCTTGCTCTGTCTCTCTCTCTCTCACTGTCTCTCCCTCTGTATGTGTGTTTCATTCTGCCTTTTAAATTAATAAGTATTTATGATAAATAAGATTTACTAAGAAGTATTTTATATTTGAATAATAAACTATCTTGGACTTATCTGACACTCAATTTTTTTTCCTCTTTTTTATTATTATTATTATTTTATGATACAGTTCCATAAGCCCTGGGATTTCCCTTATCCCCTCTTCAAGTCCCCTCCCACAGAGTCTCTAATATTATTACTATAATACAGTTCTTCATAAATAGTCATATGTCTTTCATTGTGAGCATAGACAATAGCAGAGAGTCCAGCATCCTATTGTCAAGATATAGTTAAAAGTTCCATTGGGAGTCCATCTTTGATCTGGAAGTAGAGATGCATACTGCATCGTACCAACACCTCTGGATATGACAGTCTCCATTACACAGTTACTATACGTCCCCTTAAATGAAAAGCCCAATACAAAATCAACGACAGGAAGAAAAAGAGAAATTTACAATGCCATAAAATTAAATAACATGCTACTGGACATGACAGTCTCCATTACACAGTTATTGTACATCCCCTTAAATGAAAAGCTATAAAACAAAATTAACAACAGGAAGAAAAGAAGAAATTAAAAATGCCATGAAGTTAAATAACATGCTACTGAATGACTGTCACTGAAGAAATGAAAAAGAAAATTTTAAAAAATGAAGCTACTGTATGATCTATGAGTCAGTGTTTTGAAGAGATGAAATTAACAAAAAAATCAAAATCAAAACTGTTTTGAATTCTATATCCCCCATTTTCTTGATGCCTTCCTCAGTTAACTCTGAGCTTTGCAAAAGCTTTTGCTCCTTGCAAGGGAGTCTTCAGTAATAATCATTGTGCCTTTGTCTCTTCTTTTGTTCTTGGTCAGATTTTTCTCCTTAGGACAGTTTTCTAACTTGTGTCACCCACAGGTCTACAGTTCAATTTTATTTATTGAAGTTGGTTTTTTCTTTGCAGTCCCTTGTGCCACTCCTCCCATTGAGTTCTAGGTCTGGGTTCTTATATTAGATTTCCACCATGGTCTCCATAGCCCCAGCTCCTGGCTCACCTGTCTCCACCTCCTGTGATACCATGCTGAGGCTGCACCATTACTTGTACAATCTTTCTCCCACTTCCAGTTGGAGCAGGTCCCAGGATTAGGGAGATA